TTCAAATCCATTTTATATCAAAATAAATTTCAAAATGTCTATCAGGGGCGACAATGTAAACACATTGCATATGGTCATCCAATTATGGGATTAAAAAAAGGCTGCTGCTATGGAAAATGCATTGAAATCAGAGCATATGAATGGACCTAGGCTGATTATGAAAGGAAAAAAAACCTGCATTAAAGAATTTTTAAAAAGTGCTAACATCTTTTTTAAAGCAACTCTTGTTTGGAATTGCCTTTACCAAAGGTAAAAGCCAGCAGTGGATTTGGAGTCCTAGCAAGGGTCATAGGAAAGATACGAATAAACATATAACCCAGCTTGCAAGAGATCCTTAAGCTCAAATTCAGGACACCTTGTCTTATTATAGGATGCAGTGCATGGGACACACCCCCACTGCTGTGGTACCTTGATCACGGCTTACCAGAAACCCATCCTGGTGGAATCCACGGATAAACTGCTACCAATGTGTTTTGAGAGGTGAACTATCTGGCAAGCAATTGCTCTAGTGTGGCCAAAGGCAGAAATTGAGATGGAACGTTGCAAAGCTTGGGGTCCCAGTCAGTGCACAACAGTGGGAAGTAGTGGAAGAAGCAGAGAAGGGGCACCTGGCCTGCTGGATGGAGCAGGAGCCCCGTTTTGAGGGAAATGAAGGGATCTCACAAGGTGGCTTTGGTCCATAGCGCTGGAGACCTTGGCTCATCAGAAGGGGCACAGGCAGCTGTGGTGGCTTGGGCACCAAGTACATCTCAAGGGACTCCAATTCCTGTTCAACAGAGTGCCCACACCCCTGTACTGGATGGTGTGTGCTCTGCCCACCACCAGGGAGGCAGGGATGGAGGAAAGGACAGCTGGGCACAGCAGGCCCCACCCACTGCCCAAGGGAAGAAGGCGGCAACTGACCCTTGGGTTCTGCAGACCACGCCCACAGCTGGAAGAAGGAATGGCGGAAACTGAGTGTAGGGTGTGCAGGCCCCGCCCAGCACAAGGGAGGAATGGGGAGAACTGACAGTAGGGTCTGCAGGGCCTGCCCCCCACAATGCCCAAATGACAGTTGGGCTCGGCAGCCCCGCCCACAGTCCAAGGGAGGTGTGGCATGAAATCACAGCTGAGCCCTACAGGCCCTACATAGCACCCTAGGGGAGTGCTCTCCCACCTGTTCCTCAGTGGGGAAATCTCAGGGAGAAATAGTCACCCACACCAAGGCCCCTGAGTCCTGAGAGACACCCAGATCTGAGGCCTGGGACATTGTGCTTGATGTCTGTGATTTTCCTGCTCCCTGTGCATCAGCAGCATTGCTATCACCGGTGACCACCCCAACTACAGCTCAGGCCTCTTGGGTCAGAAGTGGGGGTCAGACTCAGCATGTTCCATCTCATTGCTAGGGTTTTGGTCACTTCACATGTGAACTCTAAAAACAACTTTCTTCAATGTTGACGGGAATCCTGTCATTACTAGCTGAGATTTTATTTATTTTTATACCCGGCGTAACTGTATTTTGTATATCAACATACACATATATCTTTCAGCTTCTCGCACTAGTAAGACAATACGATGTTTATACATGTCTGATTTATTTCACTTATGAGTGTGGTCTCAAGTTGCAACCGTTTATAAAAGACTCAGGTTTATCCTTTTGTATGCTGAGTAGTGCTCCATTTTATAAAGGTACTACTTTTTTAAAATCCATTCCTCAGTTGATGGGCATTTAGATTGTTTCTAAGATCTAGCTGTTACAAATGGTGATGCTGTACACTTGGGTGCACATATATCACTGAGGTATGGTATTTTTAATTCTTGTAAGAAGACACACAGAAGTGGAATAGCTGGGTCAAATGGGACCTCCAATCCTAGGTTTTTGAGGAATCTCCACACTGACTTCCATAGTGGTTGCACCAGTCTACATTCCTGCCAACAGTGGAGAAGGTTTCTTTTTCCCCCCGCGTCCCCTCCAGCATTTGTTCTTTAATTTCTTGATGATGGCCATTCTTTCTGGGGTGAGGTAGAATCTCAGTGTTGTTTTAATTTGCATCTTTTGAATGACTGGTGATGTTGAACACTGTTTTCATTTATGTATTTGATTTATTTATTTTTTGGTACCAGGGATCGAACTTGTGCTTGCCAGACAGGCACTTACACCACTGAGCTTAGTTCCCAGCCCTGCTGTTTGTATTTCTTCATCTGAGAAGCATGTATTCATCTCCGATGCTCATTTTTGGATTGGGTTTTTAAATCTGGAAGGACTGATGTTTTTTAACTTTTTGTGTGATTTTGATAGTAATCCTCTGTCTGAATAACAGCTGAATAATGGCCAACTTTTTCTCCTAATTGTGGGATATCTCTTCACTATGTTGTTGGTTTCTCTTACTGTGCAAAAGCTTTTTTGCAAGATGAGATCCCACTTGTTGATTCTTTGTGATAGTTCCTGTGCAGTTGAGGATTTGTTCATGAAGTCTTTGCCTACACCAAGGACTTCAAGAGTTTTTCTTACTCTATCTCCAGTAGATTTAATGTTTCTGTTTTCATATTCAGATCTTTGATCCATTTTGACTTTAGTGCATAGTGATAGATATGGGTCTGTGCTGACTTTGTATCCAGTTACATTACTGAGTTAGGTTATTAAATCTACCAGTTTTTTAGTCAAGGTCTTGGGATCTCCTAAGTAGAGTACCATGTCATCTGCAAACAATGACGGTTTGACTTCTTTTTTTCCTATCCTTATTCCTTTTAATTTTTTCTCTTCTCTAATTGCTCCAGTGAAGTTTCTAGGACTCTTGAACAAAGTGGAGACAGTGGACATCTTTGTTGTGTTCCTTATTTTAGAGAAGTAGTTTTCAGTTTTTGTCCATTTAGCATGAATTTAGCTAGTGATTTGTGATAGATGGCTTTTATGGACTGAGACAAAGGCATCTACTGCAATTTTCTGTAGGGTTCTTAACATGAATGGGTGCTGGACTTTGTTAAAAGCTTTTTCCACAACTATTGAGATGATCATGATTTTTGTTTTTGGCTCTGTTATTATGACACATGATGTTTGTTGATTTACATATGTTGAACTATCCCTGCATCCCTACAATGAATCTCACTTGATCATGTTTTATAATCTCGATGACTTGCTGCATTCTCTTTGCCAGTGTCTTATTGAGAAATTTTTATCTATGTTTATTAGGAATACCATATTTTATTATTTTATATCTGCATTTATTTCTGAATGTATAAAATTTATGTGTAGAAATACATACACACATACATGTAAATGTATATAAGCATTCCTCATTTAATGCCCTGTTAAAAAACTGTCAGAGTTACTCAGTCCTATGTCACCTGGATCATTACTGCTCATTTTCAGATCAATGAACCCTCGGGGCCCAAGCCAGATTGCTCAAGCATTGTGTCCCTAACTGATCTGTCCTATTTCCCTCTTTGGAATACACACTAACTGAAAAAAAAGCCTTCCAGTTTAATGTGTGAATGAATGGTTTCCTGCTCAGATAAGCACTGATGACATTTTCAACAAGTCTGGGCTCACTCTTTTTAATAAGTGGAAATTCTTCCTATAAAGATGTAAGGACATATTTACAAAAAAGGAACTTTGGATTATCCAGCACATTTCTATAACCAGTAGCTCCATCAGGAGGAAACTCACTACATCTTCTGTTCAGAAACCCTAGGATAAAATCATTAAAATATTGTACTAATTTTTAGAGACATACAGGTTTCTTATAGTGTTGCTAAGCATAAGTAAATATATGTAATTAATACAGATTACATTAAAGAGAAATAAAATATACAGTAGCAAGATAAAAGGTATTTGTACCTTCTTTTTAAAAAAATATTTCAAAGGGAAAACTGAAGAATGAACAATGAATATGAGCTTCAAAATAGGGTAGTGGGACAGTTACAATACTTGATATACTGAGCACTGGTTTATTGTAGTAGGTGTGCAGGACATAGTCATGGTACCTTGTCTACAAAGTATTGGTGCAAAACATTCTTTTCAAGGAACAGACAGAAACTAGCTCTATGAGTACTGTAACTATCTTTTGTATACATATATTTTGGCCTTTTACCTATTCTTACTTTCCCCATCACAGTTTGTCTTTTCTTTGAACAATTTCTTTCCAATTCATAGTATCTGTTACACGTTTGTTATTTTCAAGAGAAAAAAGAAATTATCCATAAAAGTCAAGATGCGAACAAACCTAAGGAAAACAACAAAATCAAAATGACAGCAACAACAACAAAAAAGCAGCAATAGTTACATAGGTCTTCAAAACAAGGTGGCAGGAATTTAACAATGGTTCTTATACTGCATATTGTTATCTTCAAAATAGTTGCTCAGGTTACCAGACACAGCAATCAAAGAAACAGTAAAATGGAACAAAACAGTGAATTTAAAAAACAAGACAGAGGAAATCTCTCACAGTTGCCACAGTGTACACTGCCATCCTCCAAACAGATGCCCAGACCACTAGCCACAGGCCTGCAAAGACAACCAAACAGCTCAAGCATCAAGGTATTCCTTTCAGCTAAGTGGCTGTCATCTCATGCTGAGTCCTCTGAATCAGGCAGTTGCTTATAGCGTGATGAGGGGCGCTCTTCTGGTTTCCCACCAACTACATCAGTGGTTCATGGGAGCCCTCCTCACTTTGTCTTCTTGCTGAGACTCCGCGAGATCCCTGTGGTGGAGCCTGGTTCACTTTATGCGAAGATGTGTTTTTTCTGCAAGTTATTTGATTAAAATGATGTACTTATTACTTATTGCACTATAAGCAACTTCTAGGACAGTTCACTTGAGCACGGGCACCAATTGGCAAACCTAAGATCAAAGAAACCATCCTGGTGTTCTCCACTTCCCTGGTCCACTCAGGTGTGTTAGAAATGGAGGTTTTTGCAGGAAGCCCTCGTTTTGTTAAGTAATGCAAGTTAATTTAGCCACAGAGGTTTCCTCTCTTTTTGTTTTTGTTTCTGTTTTTGTTCATGCTCTTGCAATTTCCTAGAAAGTGCCTGGATGGACAGCTCACTGACAACAATCGGTTTTAACACCAATCGTGAGATTATGAGCCATGTACTTCACATCTGACCTGTAAAATGGAAACTCTATTGGCATCTACTCCACTACCTGCTGTAAATAGTAAGTGGTGCATTCAAAACATTCAGCAGAGATGCCTGGGACACAGTCATCTCTCAGGCATAATATTCATTTTATCGTGGTTACCTCAGTAAGTGCTCAAAAGCTCCACAAGCAACTTACAATGTGCAAGGGAGCACTATTAACTGTTCTTTACTTATCAGAAGCTACGAAGGCCAGCCAGGTGACATAAAGTGCTTAAAAAAGAAAAAGTGCTAAGAGGGGCTGGTGATGTCACTCCATTAGAGCATGTAAAAGGCCCAGTGTGCCGTCCCTAGGAAGAAGAAGGGGAGGAAGAAGCAGCAGAGGTAGCAGAGGATGTGGAGGGGGAGCAGAGAGAAGAACGGCGGAGGAGTGTTAAGGGAGGGGGAGAGAAAGGCAGGCCAAAAAATCTGAAGAACTAGATCAGAAATACACTTTCCCTACAGAAAGGCTAAAGGGGCCAGCTTGGTAGCCTATGCCTATAATCCCAGCCTTCAGGGAGGCTGAGGCGGATGATCCCAAGTGTGAGCCCAGTCTAGGCAACTTAGAGACTGGGTGAGACCTTGTTCTAAAAGACAATTTGGCATTTTGCTCAGTGGGAAAGCCCTGCATTCATCCCTATTTAGTCTATGGTTTGTAATGCTGAAGGGGACACTGGGACTCCCTGACTCCTCTCCACCTGCACCATCCAGTTGTTTCTCCTCCTCTTCCCCCAGGGGTGTTACTAATTGCTTACCTGCTGCATGCTGAGAAGCCCACTGAGAGCCTGGGTGCTTTGGCACAAACACCTCTGCCACCTCCCTGACATGAATCAATGCTAGGTGAGTGGAAGTAGGAGGATTTCAATGAATGGGGTTGGACGTATTAGTGAACAGGGTTATTGCCCAGGTAAGCATTCCCACAGTGTCATAAGACGCCCTTTTAAGAATATCTGCATTTTGTTTATAAACTCATTTAAGTCTATACAATGAGCATTTTATTAAGTTTCAAAAATAATCTCTTAGGGAACAATTGCAACGTATTTTAAATCTTTACAAATACAGACTCCCACACTCCAAAATCCAAGGTACTGTGAGCTGAATTATGGAGGACTGGCTAAAAACACAGGCCTCTCTCTCCCTTCCTTTCTTTCTATTTATTATTAATTATTTTTTGTTGCTGGTGGTATGAGGCAAGGGCCTGGCTATCCCACGTAGCCTGGGCTCCAAATCTCCAACTTCTTCTCCCAGCCATCATATGTGACACAGAAGTCTGCTTTATTCTTTCAGTTCTTTTTACTTGGTATTTGTGGTTTTGCAATTGTGGGTACAAAAAATAGACACCCTGTGTGCTCAGGACGTGTGCTACCACTGAACTATGAACCTGCCACGGAACATTTTTCTTTAGCACATTTGCACAAGAGAGTTGGGTCGTGTAGTTTTTTCAAGTATTATTCACTTACTAGTATTTAAGTAAGACTACTTTCACAGTGAGCTACTTCTAGTATATAGATTTCAGATACACTGATTTATTTCCCCAGTGGGAGTACTGTGGATTAGAATCTGGGGAATTTTTGACCTTACTATTTGATTTTATATTTTGAGACAGAGGTCCTCTAGGTTTCACAGGATGATCTTCAGCCTGAAAACAGGTACGAGGAGGGACATGGATGACTGTGCCCCAAAAGGCCATTCATATCAAAGTTGATTCACTGAAACACATCCTTCTGGAAACATTCAAAACACAGTTTCATAAAGTATCTGATCCAGAAATTTGATAGGGAAAATTAACAGTCATTTAATTCAGTCTCTCAGTGTAACCACAACAAAAAATGAGTGAAAAAACAAAAATTAAGTTCACAAAAAATACAAATATAAAGAAAGTAACAGAAAGAAGGCTGAAAGAAAGCTCTTCTGGCTGCGTGGCTGCAGGAAATTTCCCTGAAGAGGCTTCTGCTGAGCTGAATTTTGATGTGGCAGGTGGGTCATCTGCATTTGTACCCTGGCTACGCCAAAGGCTGAGGCAAGAGGGTGCTAAATTCACAGGAATGCTGGGCAATGAAGAAAATAGCCTCCGTGAAAATGTCAGAGACTTAGATGAAAAAGGCTATGGGTGTAACTTGGTGGCAATGTCACTTGCCTAGCATGTAGCAAGTTCTGTATCCATTCTCCAGTACTGCAGACAGTTCAAAAAATTCTTTTAAAAAGTGAAATGAAAAGACTGAGACTTTCTTCATTAGTACAGCATTTATTTTGGTTATATGAGGACCAGTTTCAACACTATTAAAACAGTCATCTTAGCGAAAGAGTACTGACCTGATCTATAATTATGCTGCACAAGGTGCCTCAGATGTGATTTCGTTTCGAGCACTTTTTTGTTCTTCCTTGAGTGCTCATTCAGTTGATATAAATGGAATTATCTCTGTGTGTCCTCGAGACATATCAATGTTTGTAGTGCCCCAAATCCCTTCATCTCTGCTGGAACTCTGCACATAGAGGTGTACTTAGCAATTATACAAGAAGTGGTTTGAGAATTGGTGGTAGCTAGGCTTCAAGGAAGATGCCAGGACCCAGGGTGGTGATGCTTGGGTGTTATCCCAGTACTCAATGAGACAGTGTCAGGAGCACCCACGTGTAGTAGAGTTTGACCAGTGTCAGGGATTCACTGTCTCAGAACAGATGAAGTAAAAAGATCTGGGGAGGCAGCCAGGGCAAAGGCCATGCACTCAATCCCCAGCAGCTCATAAGGCAAATAGCAGTCACAGACCCCTTCCAGCTTAACTTCCCCAAGGTCTCACATTGTGCTAAGGTCGGACTTTGTCGGCATTAGCACAGAGAATGTGGCTTCCAGGATGAACTGAAGACACTGTGGCTTCCATTAATTCCTTCTCTCTGTCTAGTCTCTGTGGGCCTTCATAGGGAGCAGCTGGGGCTGCCTGTAACAAGGAAGGGAGCCCACAACTCTCCACCTGCAGTGGAACCAGGTATGACTTGCAGCCCTGAACAACCACAGAAAAGACTAGTCAGAAGCACCTAGTCACAGAGCTAAGTCAGTACCTCAGATAAATGAGTGATATCAACAGGAATGAAAAGTGAGATAAGGGAACTGGAGGACATGGGGTGATTAAACAAAAAGAGGAAGCAATCTGTGCTATGTACAGATCATCTCCCCTCAGGGGATTTTAAACTCCAAGAACTGCAAACATGGACCAGTAAAATTAAATACCAGAAATGTACAAAACAATCTACAGGAAAATATCTGCTGAAGGAGCAGCAGTAATGCACATGAGAAAGTAGATGTCAATCATTTGGTGATGCTGGGAGTGGCCTAGCCAATGGGGAGTGAGAAATCATCTCATTTGCATGACTGCCAAGCAAAATGGTGATGTCACTGGCATGTGCTCCTTCAACTGATTGGGTCTCAGTAACAGTGACAGTTGGTCTCAGATGGTAAGCGACTGTTGAGGTGAGCACATCTCTTTCTGCTTTCTCCTTCATATCCACAAAGCTAAATAAGTAAAACTACACCTGTCTCTTGATATATCTTAGCCAACTAACATACTTTTGATGGTGATTTCAGTGGGTACTGACCACAAGAGTAGATGGCTCCTATTTGAACTTGGAGAGTTATCCTCTGGGTTTTGAGGCCTGAATGTACAGCTAGGGGGAATATATATATCCATATATATATGTGTGTATATATAGTATGGTGTTTTGTGCTACTTTAAAACTTTACAAATTTATTTGGTTGTGGAGAGTACTGACGATGAATCCTAGAAGCATTCTTTCATTGAGGTATGGAGTCAGCTCTTTTTGTGTGTTACATGGAGACAGGGTCTCACTCTGTGCTTTCTGGCTGCCAGAGAACTTGCCATCCTCCCACGTCTTCCTGTAGATTGGCATATGTGGGTCTACACTCACAGCCTGAAATATTTTTGTGTAGGGAGACAAAACAATCAGATACCAAACTTTGACACAACTTTGACAGTTAAGACCCAGTCTGGCTACACATGCGTCTGGAGCGTCTGAACTGTGTAATGAGACCCTGGCTCAAAAAGTATCTTTGTAACTTTAGGGGCTGGGGATTTAGCTCAGCGGCATAAGCGCCTGCCTTGCAAGCAGGCAGTCATGAGTTCGATCCCTGGTACCGATGAAAAGGAAAAAGACAAAAAAAAAAAAAAAAAAAAAAAAGTATCTTTGTAACTTTAAAAAGAAAACAGCAACTTAAACTTTAGACTAGTAACCAATGTTTGACATAGACGGTTACAAGATACTTCAACTGAAAATATTCAGATTTGTATCTGAAAAAGTCTGGACTATGGATCACTGCTTCTCAGCTTCCAGTCAACATGAGCTTCTAATGTAGCCCAGAAAACAATCAGGTACCATTCATTTTCTTTTTTACCTAAGGTGTGAAACATTGTCCTGTATAAAATCATATTTAAAGTTCTCTTGCAGTATTCCCCGAGAATTTTTTATGATCATATCTTCCCAATTTTCAAATCTTAATGATGGATTTTATTTCTAGAATTGTTCATATGCAATATGTAAGAATGGGTGATCAATACATGATGTCATTTTTAGCTAAGCTTTAAAATTCTATTTTCTTATACAAACAATTCATATATATACATTTTCCTTCTGAGTACATCCTCCCAACTGCTCTGTGGATAAAACAAGGTTCTACCTTACCACAACCCACATCAATCCCTAAGGTTCTTCTACTTCCCTACTCATGGAAGTTAGCGTCATGTTCATTAGTGTAGCACTTCTTTTATTAATTCCCATGCATCTTTTCTTCCATTCAGTGAAGAAGGCACACACTATCATAAGACGGTAATTTGGGAGGTTTGTTACTGTTTTAAAAAGTACCAAAGATATACTTCTGATGTCTTTATTTTGTTGTGTATTTGAAATATGATTTGAAGAACTTTTTGTGTTAGTACAACAGAACTCTACAAGTGTGAAATTCTGTGGTAAATTCAGCTATTATCTTTTGAATTGGATCATGTTTCTCTGCTATTGAAGCAATTCATAAGGTATCAAAAATCCATACTAAGTGGACGCTCAGAGAGAGTATGTGTAAATATTACAGATGGGATAGCCATTTAAAGATAGACTCATATCTCTGCACTTGGTTTGTCAAACAGGTTTGATGTCAGGTAACTCACAGGATTGGGGGGCTTCGATGGAACTGTTGTACTTAAGGGTACACTTGCAGGAAATGGTGTGGAATACTGTGACTCTTTGGTGAGTCTTCCTGTTGAGACCAGGAAGACTTAATTCTAGCACTGTCATCTTTGCAGTTAGGAGTGTCCTGTCTTGACCGATGGCACATTTCTTGCCTTAAGGCCGTGGAAGCATCCATCTCTTAGCCTACTTTGTATTCCTCAGACAGTGAGGTGAGCCGCCCCCTCATTCTCCAACATCCTTTCCAGAGCACCCGTGGGTCCTACCACCCTTCACTGCACCCTGGTCCTTCACTATCACTCAGGGGTGAGCCCAATGCCTAGACAATTCTGCCACCCACCCACAACCCCATGAAGAACATAAACTTTGACATTAATTGTTGGGTCACAAACAGTGTAGTTCACATCTCTCCCATAAAAAAGAAATAATAGTGCTGCCAATTTCGTAGTCTGTGGAGAATAGTGAATGACATGTCCAAAACACCAAGGAGAGGGGCTGGGGATTTAGCTCAGCGGCATAAGTGCCTGCCTTGCAAGCAGGCAGTCATGAGTTAAATCCCTGGTACCGATAAAAAGGAAAAAGACAAAAAAAAAAGTTACAAAACACCAAGGAGCGGTGCTTAGACATAGTCACCCCTCAAGTGTTAGCTGGCA